TACTGGTGCCTTAAGGTTTGAGGAATTTTTATGTGAGCATGGGAGTACAGGAACATACAGTATGCACACAAATCAAGCATTTACCAATACTAAATATAAAACTATTTATTTTAAAATACCACGTGCACTTTCACCATTTGTTAGGGATGAGAGCAAACTCACACACTGATGACATGGACATGCTCACATTCTTTAAAGAACTGAATCTTGGCTGAACATTAGAGCATCTTCATCATTCTTCCTCATTGGCTGATACTCTAACTGCATTGTCATCTGTGCCTAGAACACTGCTCAGCCTATGTACTATAAAGTGTCAGAAGTGTCTGTGTGTGGTGACATAGACCTGTAACCCCAGTACTTGGGAGATGGAGGCAGGAGGATCAAGAGTTCTAGGCTAGCCTTGGCTATGTAGTGAGTTGAGAACCAGTCTAGACTATGTGAGATCTTGTCTGATTCTGAAGCAAAACAAGTTAAAGTGATGGAAATGTGTTTAGGGCTGGCTCCCAAAAGATTGGAAATTCTGTCCTACCCTTAAGCCAAAATACATTTCCTGCTTGTCTTTACGAATGTGTGTGGAGCCCAGAGGCCAAGTGTCTCTTCTTCAGGAACAATCTACCTTGTGCTTTTGAGACAGGGTCTCTCATTGGCCTAGAGCTTGCTGAACAAACAGGTTAGGTTGATTGCTCAACAAGCCTCAGAGGTTCTCCTGTCTCCATCTCCCTGGTACTGGGATTACAAGTGTGTACATCCACACATGGGATCTGGGGATCAAACTTTGGTCCTCACACATGGCCAGCACTTAAACAACTGAGCTATCTTCTGGCTCATCTTTTTTTCTTTCTTGCACTTTTTTTTTAACGTGTATGGGTGTTTGCCTGCATATATGTCTATGTATGGAAGGTAAGGAGTGTCCCAGGAGGCCTGAGGAGGGGGGCCAGATATCCAGAACTGCAGAACTGGAGTTACAAATGAGTGTGAGCCACCATGTGGGTATGAGGATCCGAACCTAGGTCTTCTGGAAGAGCAGCCAGTGTTCTTAACTGCTGAGCCATCTCTCTAGCTTCTCCCCACTTATAAATCATCCTGGGTATGGAACACCACCACCCCTGGCCCCCCTGGCCCTTGCACATACTCGGTAAACACCCTTACTATGGAGGTGGATTGTAGACAAACGCTGGGCTCTATCCCATGGGTTTGTTATTCCTAATGACTTCTTCATAAGATGGAAAAATACTGGTCCAGAGAAGTCTTACATTTTTGAGACAAGGTCTCATAGCCTTGGTTGGTCTGGACCTGGCTATATAGCTAAGGCTGGCCTTGAATTCCTAATCCTCCTGCCTCCACCTCCCAAGTCCTGGGATTACAGGCGTGAGCAGAGAGGATTTTATTTGTCCCGGAGCTCAGAGGAATTTGGAGGCAGAGCCAGGGCTGGAGTCCTTCTCCTGTCTCTCAGGCTTGTGTCCCAGCACTGGCTGCCACCTTGGTGTTTTTGGCATCTGACTGAGTCCCCACCCCCACCCCAGCCTTAACATCTCTCTGGGACTCTCTAACTGCCACTGGGATCAATTCCAAACTCTGCCAGTTGCTCCGGCCAGAAACCCTGCTGTTGCCCTAGACACCTCTGCTTTCCCAAGCACCAGCCAAGCCAACGGCAGACCCTTTCTTCAGGGGCCTTAAGGTTACAAATTTCCTCACAAGGTTGCAAGTTTCCTCACTTCTGTCAGTAGCTCCAGGTCCTCAGCGCTAGCCTACTCACCCCAGGCTGCAGCCGTGGTCATCTTCTTCTTATTTGCTTGGTTTTTGAAACCCAGTCTCTGGAAGACACAGCTGACCTTGAACTTGCTACCAGATCCTCCTCCGGATCCCCAGCCCCTGCCTAACAAATGCTGCAACCACAGGCTTCTGACCCCCCCTCTCTCCCTCCCTCCCTCCCTCCCTCCCTTCTTCCCTCTCTCTCTTCTTTCTCTCTCTCTCTCTTTCTTTCTTTCTCTCATTTTCTTTCTTCTTCCTTCTTCCCCCTCTCCCTTTTCTCTCTCTTTTCTCTCTTTAACAGGTTATTTACTTATGTGTGTGTGTGTGTGTGTGTGTGTGTGTGTGTGATATGTATTCAGATGCCCTGGAACTGAAGTGACAGGCGTTTGTGAGCTGTCATGTGGTGCTGGGAACCAAACCCAGGTCTTCTGCAAGAGCAGTGAGTGTCCTTAATTGCTGAGCCATCTCTCCAGCCCTAAGTTTTGCTTCTCACCATACTGACTAGTATTCCATTGTATATTTTCTGTGTCATTACATGTGTGGATAGACACCACCTCTGATCTTTGCTGCTGCGAATCACAGCCCATGTGGATGGAGATGGAGGTGTTGGCTTCTCTTTGGTAGAAGTCTACTCAATAGCCCCAGCCCTCCCCTCGTCCCCACGGCCAGTCCCCCTGGCTCTGCCCAGTCACCCAGCTCCTTCTCTCTCACTAAGTGGAAATTTCATCTTGACAGCTACTTTCCCGATTCAAAAACCCTTCAGAATCACTTTAGACTCTCCTCACCCCCTCCCATCCATGCTCGCCACGCGACCCATCAGCGAACTCGGCCACTCATAGATCATGTGACCTCACTCACATAGCATCATGTTTTAAAGATTCAGCCATGCTAAGGCATGTATCAGTACTACATGTTTATGACTGAGTAATATTCCATTGTAAGGCTGTCCACCTGTTCATCCTCTGACGGCTGTCCAGGCTCTTTACGTATTGTGGCTGCAATGAATATTGCTTTGGTGAACAGTCGCGTATCAATATCTGTCCATCCGTTTTCAGTTTTCTTGGGTGCAGACCTGGGACTAGAATTGCTGAGTTATGTGACTATTCTATTGCTGATAGATCAAAATACAGACACCACCAAAGTCCAACTTGGTGAACAACGAGTTTACTTCTAAGAGCAGAAATGACTCAGCCGGGCGGTGGTGGCGCACGCCTTTAATCCCAGCACTTGGGAGGCAGAGGCAGGTGGATTTCTGAGTCCGAGGCCAGCCTGGTCTACAGAGTGAGTTCCAGGACAGCCAGAGATATACAGAGAAACCCTGTCTCGAAAAACCAAAAAAAAAAAAAAAAAAAGAAATGACTCAAAGACAGCTCTGACCAAAGAAATGACCAAAAAGCCCACCTCAGTATGGGTGACAGGTCACCAAAGCTAGGATCACACTGCACAGCCTGCAGGCAGCTCAGCATGTTTGAGAGTGTCCTTTCCGAGTGACTGTGGTCTAAATCTTTTCCAGGCAACTTGGCTGTTTTCTGCTTCTTCCAGGCATCTGGTCTGGTGTCAGAGTCTTTGCCGCTTTCACTACCACTGAGCCACGCCCCCAGCCCCTCACTGGGGGAGTCTAGGCAGGGGCTCTACCACTGAGCCACGCCCCCAGCCCCTCACTG